AGCTTAAACATTTCAAGCACATATAAAACCCACGTGTCTCTGCTTGGTGTATTTAATTGTCTCATATTTTATTTAACGTTAAAGTAGATGAATCTACAAGTGTGGAAAAATATTTTCGAAACCTGGATTCGAACCCGATACCTTCTGCTGTGTATGCAGTCTCCTTAATTAAGCAATTGAGGTTTGAAATTCAAATCCGATAAAAGCAAGCAACTCATCCCTACACTCATTTGTACATGCGTAGTCAAGCATCTTTGGCTAGTTTTTATTGCATTTGTATATTGTACATATCAATGTAGATGAAATAGTAATTGTTATTGCTGTGATGGAATAGACAATAACTAGATTTGCGTCAGGAGAAACATGTATAGGTGTAATTTTGCCCTACCTGCCGTGAAAGTGTACTGAATACTCAGTACGTTTGAAAACAATTGCAAAAAAAAAAATCGCAAGTTGATGATGCCAGGCTAGTGATCTAGAGGTCGTGGGTTCGAGTACCACCCGAGAACAACTTGCGATTTTTTTCGCAAATGTTTTCAAACGTACTGAGTATTCAGTACATTTCCACGTCAGGTAGGGTAAAATTACACCTATAAACGTAGATGAAGCTAAATTATATGCGAACTGGATATTATTTTAAATATAGTTATTGAATGTGTGTTGGTTATAACTTTATTTTCTGTTGGATTATGTTTCTGTTTATGTTGTTTTTGTCTGTGATATGAACCTTGGAAATAAAATTTTTGAATTGACAAAATTTATGGTGTGGTTATCAACTCTGTCGGCTGATATCAACTGCGCTGAACCGTTTCGATCTCTTGGGCTCTGGTTCAATTCCCATCTGCTCTCCATGTGCTTTAGCTGTAGGACTGAAATTAAATTTGCGATAGCGCCCTGTCTTTTGGATGAGGTATTTAAGCCGTTGGTCCCGTGTGCTACCCGGTAAACCGGTACCAGCTACTATCGTCGGTTCACATTAGGGAATGTATGGACAAGTACACCGGGGTAACCCTCTACCCCCTAACGAAATGCGTTCATTCTACCAAATCCCCTAGCCTGATGGGAAAATTTAAAAAAAAAAAAAAAAAAAAAATGACTTGCCATGCAGTGTCAAATTCGAAGTGAAAACTTTTAACTTTTAAAATTATGAACGGATTTCAGCTATCAAAATTTAACACAGTCAACTATGTTCAATACGGTATCGATTTTGAACAAAAACCACTTAATTCTATACAACAAATAAAATGGCGTACCGATCAGTGGCGTAACGGTGGAGTCGGCAAGGGTCCCTTTTATTGCCCCGGTCGCCAATTCCATTGTGGGATTGCAAATGTGCTCGCCTGTTAATCGTGTTTGTAATTGTATTTCACAACGTCGAAATTAATTTTATATTACTGGCGGATCCTGGAATTTGTAATAGTGGGAGGAGGTCTCCAGGGAGGAACTTCCACAGATCAGTGGCGGATCCAGGAATTCGAAATAGAGGGGGGCCAGGTAGGTACTTTCACAGATGGAGAGTCTAAACCACCTCGCGGCCCCACCATGGTTGGGGTTGAGGTGAGAAAATTTATGATTATGGCACCTCAGATGGCCGTAAATGGCACTCTCAGACTGAAATGTGATTAATATTTTCCTCTTTTCTTTAATTTTAATTTTTTTTATATATATAATTTTGAATATCATTTTTGTGCCTCAATTTTATGAAAATTTTGACAAACTTAGGGGGCCCTGGCCACTAGGCCTCATTTAATCCGCCATTGTATATATGTAATGATATAGGCCTATTTACTACAGTTCATAACAGAGACACATTATGCTATTATGTATCAACAAAACTCTTTGGGTCAGGGTGCTGGTTCGAGGTCGAGGACTCTATGGGTAGGGCTCTTAGGGTTCGGAGGCCCTGCGGACCGCCGCTCGAGAGCGCATATAGGCACGCCACTGGGCATACCTGTATCTGAAATCAATGAGTAAAAGTGCATGATTTCCACTTATTTCACACGTAGGCCTACGTCTAAAAAATAAATGGTTGGAAGTTTACAGTGGCGGCACTAGTGGGGGGGGGGGGGATTTCCTCATATAATTTTCTTTCCCCCCCCCCTCCCAGTTTCTCACCAAAAAAATTTTCTTTTCCCCCCACCCTCCCAGTTTCTCAACAAAAAAAAAAGAAGAAAAACCCCAATTCGTTGTAAAAATGGTATGTATTTTCTACATACTAGCAGACTATCTATAGATAAAATCGATTAAAATAATACCCCCTATTTTCAGAAAAACAGTAGGCCTACCGGTATTCTAAGAGTAGGCTGCTCTGCTTTCCTCCCCAAACAATGTCCCTTCCGCTTAAATTTTAGCATAAAAATAACAACATGCATGAAAGTTATAACAACTAAAATGAAATTGAAAAACAGATAAACTGTATAAATATTATTGTTAGAGCATGGAATTCAAACTAATTATTAATTGGGTTTTCTAAAATTATATAATAATATAATATATAATATTATAATATTTGGCTTGGTTTAGGCACTCGCTAAAGCGCATCGTAAACCATTGCTGGGAATTTCCCGAACGTTGTTGGCTATCTATTTATAGCTTGTCACTGTACTGTAATGTATCGCTACAGTACAGTATAACGATAATGGTAATACTAACTCTTTCCGGTTGACGGAATACGTGGCCAAAACTGTTCTATATAATAATCCATTGCCGTAGTGGTTTATTCTTCAAATTGCTAGGCTATTAATAGTTTAATCTGACGTTGCTTCCTGCTAGTTTGAGCTTGTGTGTAGGAGGGGTAAACGTCGCCACAAACCTGTAAGATCATCGATACGCCAGCTACTACGGTACCGTACCATCTGGCCTAGATTTTTGTTAAACATGCAACAGAATCAAGGTAAACTTGTATATTAATACACACGTATTGGCTTTAATGGCATAGTGCTTGTAGTATTTTAGGTCCTATTCTAATATAACTCACCTTTTTAACTTGTATTTTTCTTAATTTTTTTTTCCCCGAATTTTATTTTTACTGTTAGGCGCATTGAGGCTTTAGCATAATGCGTTATATAAGCAGAGTTTCATTTGCGAATCCGGGGGTGAGGAGTGGGAATAAAATTTGTCAAATGGATACCACAGCAGCTACCGTGAAAACGAGTTACACCATTTACTGCACTATAAGGCAACATTAAGGACTACTAACAGTCCACCACCACGACTCTTAATAATGTAATTAAAGACAAAGGTCCATTGCTACTACTACTGTTAGAGGCAACCTTTGTGTAAATACAGTGACGGGCTCCGTGGGTGAAAGGAGCACCCCCACCCCCGGCAGCAACAATCTCGAGCCTCTGTGCGCTTCCAAAGGGCGTATCATACTGGAAGTTTATCTATCCACATATTCCACGATAAAACACTCCAGCGGCCATTCCACTCGGACTGATCGCTTACTCTAAAGAAAGGGGTCAAATTAGGATCAATAAATGCAAAAAACTTATGCAGCTACAAATGGGCACTGGGCCACAGTGATAACATTCAATTTTATTTCGGATTAATCTGTCAACAAACATCTTTTTATTTTATGCCAGGCCTGGATTTATATGTAGGGGGTTACATCCCGCCTCTGCGTACTCTTTCGTCTATGGCATGGCAAATATGTGTTTCCTGTCCCAGTCCTATCATAGTCTATCAATACGATGAAACAGTTATTAAATACCAGGGAGCAGTCATATACTGTTATATAGGCCTGCACATGGATCTGACTGTTCTCTGGTCAATATAAAACAGGCGAAAGAGAAAAAATGAAGTTAGTGTTATATTTATATATATAGGCCTATATATTTTTTTGCTCAAAAATATTGCACCGGCGCAGATCCAGTAGGGGGAACGTGCTCACACCCCCACCCGTTTTGCCACTAAATTAAAAAAATTTCAATGCATATCAATGTCATGTGATCTTACTTATCTAGGCCTATTCTGAAACTGCCGTGCCTTCCCCCCCCCCCCCCCCCCCCCCACCGTTTGAAAAATTCTGGATCTTCCCCTGATTGCTTCACTGTTGGATGGGACTAGCGGGACCTAGCTAAACATTGAATTTAAATACTGTATTGTATTTGAGAAAGCAAATCTGAAATTTGTTTCCATTATAAACATAACATTTAACTTGTCTGCACCCAACAGCAATAATCGTGTGTAGCGTCTACCAATCGGAGACAAGTGAATCTATCGTTAGACTTATCAGAGACTTATGTCCCAGTCAAGAAATTATATTTCAACCACTTCAGAAGACAACTCAGTTCGACGGCAAGAAGGTTGTCTTTTGCCATTCTAGTTGTAGTGGACGTCTGGCATTGACTGATGTTAACGACTCGATCTACGACAGTGCTGTCAAAGATGCCAGTAGGACTGTTGGTAATAGCCTAATTTATAATTGCTTACAATGATTATGATTTGTGACTGTAGGCCTATTTATGTATGTCTATAATAATGACATTAAATGCTCTCACCCTAAAAAATGTTTTGTTTTTTTTTAGACTGAATATAAGCATTTTCACTATGGCTTTATTTATAGCAAACATATTTTTTCCACCATATTACACACTGAGGCCCTTCTTTTAGGTAAAACGATCTATCTTAAATTCTCTTTCTTGAGTTTGGGACTATTTTGTCTTTAAATATCTTACCTTAAAAAAATATCTTACCTAAAAAAAATATCTAACCCTAAAAAGCCTTAAAAATATGCCCGCGAAGCGCGCATAAAATGTTTGTGTTTTTAATTCTAATTTCGTTGGAATTGATCAAAACTCCCTAATATGTGCACTTTTTAGAGATAATTGGCCTACCTTAACAAAAAAGTCGCGCAAAGCGCTCGAAATTTGAGATTTTTAGGCACTTTCATGGGGTGAAAAGGGCATCTTCAAGGGGTGGGGAAAGATTTTCCACAGATCGATATTTTCCCCTTGTCCCCCCGGTGGTTACGCCACTGGGGAGAATATCTGGCGGCTTAGTTAAAAGGAGCTATGGATACTTTTGAAATGGAGAAGGGTTGCAGGGTGTTGTGAGTCTGGTCATGATATCTTCCTTTTTATTCTTGTCTCTATTTTTCTTTTCTCTTTTTCTTTTACTTTTTCCTTTCCTTTTCTTTTCCCCTTCTTTCTCTTTCCCTCCCTCACCCCTCTTTCTTTTCTCTTATTACCCAGCCCGGTACGACCGCTTGGTCAGCCCGGTAAAAACCGTCAGTGGGGGGAAGTCTGCCCCCCGCCTGTTACGCCACTGTTCAATTCCCATCATCTCTCCTTGTGTTTCAGCGGGAGGGCTGAAATACAAGTTAACACCGTCGGAAAAGTAGGGGATTGTCTCCCGGTGTACTGCCCAATCACCACCAGAAGGACCGAATTAGAAATAAGTCTTTAGACTTTCGTGGGTCACTCTTGGCGTTTACATCGAATAAATCCATCAATCCATCCTCGTAACGATAATGCCGATGACGATAAATACGGCTAGGTTAATAATTATTGTTAATTGTGGTTATAATAGTGATGGTTATAATCATGCTGATGTTATTGAGTGTTGGTAACAGATGATGTAGTAATGTCAATTGTGGTTATGCTACTGACAATATGAATAATGATGACTATAATGATAATTTGTACACACGATTTGTAAGTTTTAAGAATTAAGGATCTTATAATAAAAATATATGCGTACATTATAATAGCTATTAAATCCATACATTTGTTTTATAATTAATAATATATGTTTTCAATTAAGGTAAAGAAAATGTTGCCTTTGTTGTAACTGATGTTGAAGCAACAGATGTATACCTCAGAAGGAAGATGATCACGCAGACACAGCATACTTTGGTGTCAGAAACTAACTTGCTTTTACTGTTAGGCAAAGTCGACGACATTGATGGTGAGGTCTTAGGCCAGTTTAAAGAGTTTCTGACGATACATTCACCCCAACGCCGACCATTTCCCCCACAGGATGGGCCTAATCAACCACCATATTATGATTTACTAAAATTGCTTCCACAATTTGCATTTATGGTTATTATAATTGCGTGTTTTGTGAGTGTCAATTCCAGACTAGACCTCTTTCAGAGCCACATCAACATGCTGCGACAAGAGTCGTTTGATCGAATACATCATCTTGAACAAACTCTTGAAGTGGAGTTTCAAAGTAAATTAGAAACTAAGATGGAAGACTTGCGAAAATCATTAACAGAAAAAATGGGATATCATACATCACAGTTGCAAATTGATCTGCGCCATCGGATCGAAGATGTGCAAACAAAGGTATCAAATAAATTGCAGACAGAACTACAGAACCACAGTAATGTGCAGCGTATGCAAGCAGATCATATTAATCAAACACTTATTTTTTTACAACAAACAGTTAACATGACGCTGAAACAGAGTAATGATAAAACGACGTTGGAAACATTATTGCGGGATAATATCAACGATTTCAAAAAAGAATTTCAAAATGAACTAGACTCTAAGATGGAAGACATCCAAAGTTCATTATCAAGGGACATGGAAAAGCATAGATCAATGTTGACTGATCTCGCTTCTCAAATCACCAATTTAGAATTTGGTATACAAACAGCAATAAAGGAAGGACACAGGCAAGAACAAGATTCACAGTATTCAGAACTACTAAATATAACCAAAGATTTTCAAAATAACTTACACTCGAGGATAGAGGAGAAAAGCTCACAGTTGCAAACTGATCTGCGTCATCAGATCGTTAGTGTGCAAACAGTTGTATTGAATAAGTTGCGGACAGAACTAAAGAGCCACAGTAGTGCCCAGCGTAACGACTCCACTATGCGAGCGGATGATATTGATCAAAAACTTGTACTACTACAACGATCAGTGAACAAGACGCTGGAATTAAGTGTTGATAAAACGACATTGGAAAATGTGTTGCAGAATAAATTGAACGATCACGAAGTGCCGTTTCAAAATGAACTAAAAACTAATATGAAAGAAATGCAAATTTTATTAACAGAAAACATGGAAAATCATAAATCAAACTTGACTGCTCTCGCTTCTCAAATCACCAACATACAAACAGCGATAATGGAAGGACACAGGCAAGATCAAGATTCACAGTATTCAGAACTAATAAATGTAACCAAAGATATTAGGAATAACTTACAATCGCGCATGGACAATAGCTCACAGTTGCAGGCCGAACTACATAGTACAGTCAACGATATGCAGACGAGAATAGAAGGTCGATGTTCAGAATTACAAGACCTAGGAAAAGAAGTCCAAAGTATTCATACAAGATTACAAAACTTACAAGACAGTGTGGGAAGATTGAAGTCAGAATTGACAGAGTTTATAACGAAGAGAGTGACAGGTCAATGGAATTATATCAAGAATTCTTTTGAAGACCTAAAATCTAGCTTTCAAAATAGTATGGAAAATCTCAAAGATCAATTAAAAAGCATAGAAAGTAAACTTAAAGATGATTGAACAAAATTATAGAGCAGGAAGGATTGCGGTCAATCTATATAATCTTATGTTGTGTCCAAAGACATCAGTCACAGTGATACTTCAAATGACGTAGCAAATCAAGGTGCCCCAACATTAATAAATAACATGGTGGTCTTACGTAAAAATTACAGGCTAAATTAGAAATAAGAGTAGGGAAATTCTTAGTTCACTAAAAACAGATCAGGTCAAAGGTAACGTTAAAAGAATGACATGGAATTTCATAGCCAACATGAATTAGTAGATGGTAATGGGTAACCCATGCGTGATTATGCGTATTTGACTGGTACGTTTTTAATGCGTAGAGTTTTTTTGTTTATTGTTTTTTCTTTGCGTTAAATAGGCCTACCGTTTTTGTTTATTAACTGGTACGCTAAATAAACGTCGTAACATGTTAATTCATATATTAGACGGGGTTTAGCCAAGATATCAGTAGCTAAAATTAATAAATAATAGAAAACACATAGTTGATATTCTGTTGACTATCCGGTAGCCGTTAGGCACACTTGTCGAAACTACTCACACATTCTTCAAAATATTGTGATTTCAATTGATGACATTACCCTAATATCCACCCCTAACACTGGCCTGCAACAGTTTGCTGGTGTCTGTGAATCTTTTGGCATGAATCATAATATTAGCTTTAATCACAAGAAAACTATATGGTATGGTCTTCTCACTTAGAAAGACGTCTGATGGCTTACATAAAATTAAATTCTGTGGCAATGAGCTAAAGATTCTTCAAGAAAGATAGGCCTACTCAAGATATAAGCGACAATATAGATCCACGTTTATAAGAGCGAATATTATGTTAAGTCGTAAATTGAGCAAATGCTCAAATGGAGTAAAAAGCAGTCTATTCTGCTCAGTTTGTGCTACGTAATGCAGTGGTCTTTGGGCCAACTATACACTGGTTAATATTAGAGAGCTTCAAGTATGTTATTGTAATACATTAAGAAAACTCCTTGGTCTGCCAGTCAACTGTTTGTCTTAGATAATGTACCTTCTTTCTATGAATTTAGAAATAAACAAGTTAGTTAAAACAGTTTATAAATATTGTCTTTTTTGGCTTTTTTGTTATGCTATTTTCTGTGTTCTGCTTTTGTAATGTTCTTTTTGTATTATGTATTTCATATGGCTTTTAATTCCTGAAATAAAGATTTGATGATGATTATGAATTGATTCCAGTTACTATAAATAGCATATAAAATGTAACATCCTCTTTTATGATCCTGGGTCATCCAATTCCATCCTAGTCACTGAATTTTCATTGTGGAAGTTGATGCAACTGTGAAGCAATTAATTTTATTTTCATTTTTTTAACATGCGGGTGTGTTAATGTTATAAAGGATACAGTCATAAAGCACTGTCAACATTACCATATTATTTTATGTAACAAATAAATGTAATGTCTACAAATTTGTCACATAAAATGTAATAGTACGTGTGAACGCTTATTTCAATGCATATCATAATAAGACTCATAGTTTAGCTACAATAACCTCCTTATAAATTACATTTTGATTATTTTAACATGCATGTAAATAATAAAGTAATCAGTACTACATTGAGACATCTGCGGAGTATTTGCTTTGGTTTTACGTCAATTTCCATACATTTAATCTCTTTATTCAAGTTACTAGTCGATATATTCTGTGCATACATTTACTGTACAACTAAAACAATAGAAAGAATTCTTTTACAAAAATAATTCAAGCTTCAAATATCATTTTTACAAGTTAAAAAGTACATATGCCACCAGGAAAGACAATAAGATGGCGTCACATTGTTATTGCATACCTACTGTGACGTCAGACTAAAATATATCAAGGTAGAAGGTAGGTGGAATAGCAAAGGCACGTTGATAATATCAAGGTAAATATTAGACATAAGATTTCTTTAAAATAGAACAACAAATATACTGATTTTACTAACGCGTTTCGTGCTCCTGATTTGCATCAACATACATATTAGTAAACAGTCTATATCATCGGTTTAAAAAAAAAAATCGAGGGAAAAAACATTAACCATTAGTTTATGAGTTGAGGGTGATGCATGCATTAGGTCACTAAACGTGTACTAAATATTCGTCAAACTGTTATTAATTCTGTTTTTGACAAGGAACAATGTATCTCAATCAATTTCAGATTTACAGTAACAAAAAATATTTGTAAAACAAAAATCAACAACCATCAAAATGTTTTAAAACATTAGACACAAGAATGCTCTAAAATAGAACGATAAATGTATTGATTTTACAAATCCATTTCGTGCTTCTGATCTGCGTTAGCATATAAATAAGTAAACAATTTATATCATCAATAATAATTAAAAAAAATAAAGTAAAACCATTAACCATTAGTTTCTGAATGCATTAGGTCGTTTACAACAATAAAGAAAAAAATAATGAAATAAAAAATAACCGTCAAAAATGTTTTAAAACCGTTGAAATATGTTCGAGTAAAAATCATAAATGCATTAATTAGCATTGACATTCACGAAGCACAGAATAACTATTACCAGATACTAGAAACAAAAGACAGAACATCTTTTACGGATCTCCCACCGTACGCGGTGCCAGTGTCCTTACAATAATGACCATTTACTTGAGTTTATCTCCCCCTGTACTATACGCGGCGCCTCATTTATTGGGGCATCGGGTACGACAGGAGATGAACAAGCTTACCTTAGTACAGTATACCTATCCTGCAAATTGGTGATACAGTTTTTGTCTGTGGGAAGGTCTATCTTGTGTTTCTAGTATCTTTGCCATTGTTTAAAGACATCAGCCTGCTATGTTGATACAGGATATGTAAGATGGCGTAAAGCTGCGTTTATTTTAAATTTTAGAAATATATTGTATAATACGCCGCAGGCTAAACGTAGTAATCAATAGTACTGCAATACATTTTAGTTATATAATATAATTTGCATATTATTATAATGATAGAAATTACATTTTACTTAAACAATTTATGACTTCGAAAAAAAGGGAATATTGTCAACAATGTAAACAATAACATTTCTATGAAATTATTTACTATTTCTTACACGAGATATGCTAGAGAAAATTTCCATTAGGCACAATAATGTATACAGTACTGCTTATCATGGTCGACCCGTTCAACTGTAGATTTACCGTAAAGAGATTTTAGTAGGTTATATATTAACTATAATGGTATAAGCGGGCATAAGACTTTCAATTATATTACAGCATAAGCCTATGAAACCATGGTGATTCTTATTATTCTTGCATTAGATAGGAATAAACATATTTAAAATGTAGCTAACATTAGACATTAACTGTTGTATATTTTCCAACCCATCCAGTTTTACATGAATAATATAAAATTATAAGAACACACACGAAATATTTAAGTGATAGCAAGGCAATTCCTAAATTTCCTTAAAGATATTGTAGGGATTTAAACAGTTAAAACATTTTCATTACAACAAGATCTCAATCACTAAAATATTATTTTATTGAAGTATTATTAATTTTGGTTCTAGGCAAGAATATAATTTGGTTCTAGGCAAGAATATAATTAAAACAAAAGAAGGCGACAATTTGTATCATCAAAATACTCCTTCCAAAGATGCAGTATCGTTTACCATGATTTACAGCACAACTACTCTAACTTTAAAATTCATACACCAACAACAATATACATAACCCTGATATAACTATGAATTTGCGTTACCCTAACATCGAATACTAAATGAACCAGCTCCGACTATTACTAGGCCTGGGTAAACTGGTCCTCGTACGCAACTTTCACTGGAAAATATCAAGCGTTTTGTGTTGCCGTCGTAGAAGCTCACTAAGCCGTTGTCACAATCAACTAAAACACCCAGTGAGTTCGATACCGTAACTGCTGATGTTTCCTTGCCACTGCTGCTCTTTTTTGATGGCAGACGAACCTGACCCATCACATGGTTTATCATCACACCACAGTCACTGCCGAGTGGATCCTCATGAACATCGATCTCTTCGCAACTATCATGTCCGCTGTCTGTGCTTACTTGATCACCTGGATGGAGAACCAGGCGCGATTTCTTTTCACTAACGACACCAACTTGTGTTATGTAAGCTGACTGGTTGATAACGATTTCCCAGTAGTGTTTTCCTGAAGTTATTTTCTGGTCGCCAATGATGTAGATGGGGTCGAGTGGTACTGGTCCTGTGGGGATAAGCCCAACATTGTCGAGGACTTTGCTGTTCGGGACAATGGTGGCTGTCATGCCATTGTCACTTACTTCAACTGTGTCTCTTCCTGAGTTGATTCTTGCTGAATCGAATCTGAAGTCAAACACTGTAAGATAAAAAAGGGAACCAAGCGTAATGTTCGGCAAACACTTGAAAGAAAATAGAATATATATATATATATATATATATATATGTATATTTATATATATATATATATATATATATATATATATATATATAATGTTGAGTCTTTAACCCAGTGTTACATGTTTTATTTGTCTATCTGCTCTACTATATACTGCATTGAGCACTCTTGTCTACATGATCTGGTTTAAGCCAACCACGCAGATTACATATATATATATATACATATATATATATACATATACATATATATACATATATTCAGAACTTTGAATAGAAAATGGCATACCCAAAACGATGAGACAATTTCCTAAAAGAGGCCATTCTTAATGTCTTTGGTAGTTTCCATGTAGGCATGTGTTTGAATAAATTATGATTTTGAAGCATCAGGTACGTATTACTATATCAATACTAACCTGACCCTGGAGTAGTCCTTAATAGTATAGAGTCACTAAATGTCCCACAACCCGCGCTGTTTACAGCTTGAACCCTGAACTCGTATTCCCTATATCTCTCTAGGTTTGATATAGAGTATGACGTAGCATTGACAGCCTTTATTAAAGTCCATGTTGCCTCTGTTGTGAAGTTTAGTTCATTTTGATCAGCAGTTTTGAACTTGGTCTGCTTGGACTTGCTTCCTGTCTTGGTAGGTGAATGCTGTACAATCTGGCGATATTCCAGGTTGTAGAAATCCACATGCCCTCCGTCAGATGGCGGTTTCCAATAAAGAGTCACGTCTTTGTAAGCTTGTGATTCGTCAGACATCATTATTGGAGCTCCCGGGGCTAAAAATAAAAGATTGTATTTATATTGTAATTTCTGACATACAGTAACTAGATGATTTCAAATACTGTACTCGGTTGTCGGTGTTTTAATACTAACATTACTGTAGGTCTACATTTCATAGAACACATACTATTGTGTTTTTTTATGTTCATGATGGCAGTACTGAAGATGTAGATTATTGTCTACTATGATTGTATGTATTATTGTAAAGTGCAACATCTAGTCCCGAGCGCATAGAGACCATGTATTATGCGCTATATAAGTCTCCAACCATTATCATTACCATTATTAGGAATGCCATGTAGGTTTTTTATTCACTAAACAATTGTTATCATTGAAAAGTGCCCAGTAGTTGGGAAAGGATAAGCGAGGCATTGCTACCTCCGTGTACTGATGATATTCCTATTGTCTGTTGTGTCGGTGAATTGTTGACACGTGCATAATAATATATGGTATGTGTGAACTTTGATTTTGCCAAAACATAACAATGAAACAACCCGCTACACCATGTAAGCACGAACAACAATTCCCTTACTTTTAAGGAAGTCGAGGCTACCAACAGCTTCCGATGCTCCGGCTGAAGTGATTTGCATGTCCCTGAAGTTGTCCGATACATCTATGTGGTTCACTTTCATTGCATCAGACATTTTGTGCATCCTTTGAATAGTAACATCAACGTTCAGAGTTAGGAATTATTATTATTAATCATGTGAAACAACTACAATTTGAAATTACAATAAAAAAATAAATCGGATCGATAATTAAAAGTTTTGGTTGAGAACCATCAACCCTGCCACCCTACACGTTACCTCTGAGTCGCGTCTCATTCGAAAAATATGCTCATATACCTATACCTATACATAAAATAAACTTTACCGGGACGTACTACGCACATTTGTCACAGAGCGTGAAAATTGCGACAAGATTGCATTGCGATCATAGAATGAAATGATATACCTATCACAAACATTTTCACGATGTATTATATGTGTACTTAATTAACAAAGTGAGTTCAGTCAATTTTGTTTATTACTATATTGACAAAACCGCAAAAAACGGCTGATATACTAGACTTTTATTCAGAGTTAAGTTGTTGTTACGAGATTATCGTTACTACTTGCTTTGAGTTAATATTAACGTAAAACAATAAAATATAACAATTCATCACTATATCCTTAGCAATAATCATTCAACTTCTACTTCTCAACTCAGAACTTTAAATATTATATATTTAGGCATCATAAACAGCCTCTATAATATAATTATTATAAACACTTAACATACCTGCTAATGACAGGGCGTGCAGCTTGGACAAAGCACGCATGCTCAGTTTCTTTCAAAATTTCCTGAGCATACTCAACGACATTGCAGTCTTGCAGCATGTTCTCGTAAGCTTCAAGCTGGATTTGTACCAAATTGATTCTTGTGGCCACCTCAGTCTCAGCACGTCCAGCAATGTCGCCCTCTCTCGTCTGGAGTATTGCACGGACGCATTCCAATGCCGAATTCACTTCTTGTTTGAATATGTTCCCTGATGTCTATTAGAAAATGAATACGCGTTTTCTGTCATTTTTATGGTGTAGACTAAATATATAAACATGGTTTGCTATAATTTGGTAGGGAACATATTTTATACTGTATTGATGATGTTGGTTATGTTTTTAATAACGGCCACTTTTGTTAAAAATATACGGTACGGTACGGTAGTGGTGATAATGACTATGATAGATGATCATTATCATCAAAACTATCATCACCCGGACTAACATTTTTACTAATTGATTAATTAACTGATTTATTTATCTGACTGACAAGTTGGATGGTTGAGTATGTTTTACATCCACTATAGTAATCATGCTGTGGTTCCACCGAAATATAAAATTTAATAGATACTTTAAGCTTAAACAAATCATATTGTCTTCCATTCTTCTTTTCCGTTATTTGTTTCTGCCAACACTTTAAATAGTCACTGAAAATCTACGGCCATTCTATATATGTATACGACGCAAACAAATTTCCCACAACACTTTAAATAGTCACTGAAAATCTACGGCCATTCTATATATGTATACGACGCAAACAAATTTCCCACAACCTTTAATCCTTACCTTCGAAAAGTTCCAATTCATTTTTACTTGTCTAGAATCATCTGCTATATACCATACGTAATTCATTTCATATTATTTTTTTTTAATCAAAAAGTACGCCTACCTCCAACTTTATTCTCTTTGCCTTAATCCTGTCCAGCTCCGCCAAAATCAATTCCCTTTTGCCTTGTATTTTTTTTATGTTCTTTTCCAGTTTATCCTGAAAAAAACCCATACTTTTTACATAACACGCAGCCTGTCAGAGTTTAAGAACAAAATATATTGCGTAAAATACCGTAATATACCGTATACATTAAAAATGCAAATTCTGGTCGGGTTTCTTTTTCTCGAAAAACTTCAGAAGTTTATTTCAAGTACGAAGTTATAATTCGAGTAATACATTAGAACTCATATAGTGCATAGGCTAATGCCTGTCGCATGCTTTGAATAATATTGTAAAAATTAGATTCAAGATTGAAACTAATAGGCCTACTTAAAAATACAAACAACACATACAAAAATACCCACATAAATTAAGAATTATATTCACGTTGCATACAATGATTGTGTTTGCTGCAAACGGTGTAAATTGGGAATGCACAAGGGGTGGTGCAACGAAAGACCTACGGCAAGATTTACTGTACTGAAGAAGGAATATCAGTTAGATCAAGATCGAGTTCTAGTAAGAGTCGAATTCATAGGAGGAAGACTTTTTATTGAGTTGACGAATGGACGACTTTCTTGACTTTCTATTACAACAAAAAAATGAAGAACAGTAACGCTGTTTAGACAATGCAAGGGAAGACTATGTGCAGGGATTAAGAAATGGTGTGAGAAATTTTGTAAATGAAAACAATTCTATTCAGACTACAAAAAGAAAAAGGCATTACAGTATGCCAAAGCGTGTTTGGCCAAACTTCTTTTCACAGTACGTGAATTTAAATCGCAGTAACAAACCTTCATAACATTGTACTTTCTCTCCATACCGGACACCTTGTGAGTGCTATGGACACCAGAAAATTTACACATGTGACATATTGGTTTTTGACAGCCGTCGCAGTACATGGTCACTCGCTCCTCCGGATGTTCCGGGCATGTTATCGTCTGCAAAACAAGAGTTAAAGGTGGATTTACCTCATACAAAGGTGTGTAATACGAATATATAATTTTAGCTGTAGCCATGTCAAGCTAAGTGAATATCACCGACAGTTTTCGGATAACATCTTTAAAAATTATATAAAAGATTGAATAAAAAGATTATTTATTGTGTTACATAGATCTATATATACTTTTTATATGTCTACACTGTCTTCGTTTAACTATATCAATATATTAATGGTAATAACTCAAAAACCAAAGCTTTTTTTAATCTATGAATGCCACTATAATGGGAGAACTCAACATATTTGGTGGCAAAAAATGTAACTACTGTAGAATTACGTGACCCATTTTTCAATGAAGGTGCAATATTACAGAGAAAGGACGTGTTCATACTAACTATAGTAATAGTAGGCCTATTTATTTTTGTGTTTACTGTAAAGTACATAGACGAAAACATCTAAATAGCCTTGGGTTTTCTGTCAAAACTTGTCTAGGCGGAGATCCAGAAATTTCATTGAGGAAATCAATGTCAAATGAAATATAGGTGTCGGTACCCATGGACAATTGTAATGGTACAGCAATGCACTCAAACGTACAATAACATATTTTTAAGTTTATTTAACAGGTCACACTTTACCTTTGGCCTGTAGTTTCTGGTAGGGCCGACATGCATATGCTGAGCACGAGGTGTACCCCAAGGGTGTGCGTTCTTATAGCAAACGTTACAGAAGCTTGCTCTACAGTCCAAACAGCTCTTAGTGGCGTCCTCAGGCGGATGCGCTCTGCATGATCCACAAGGTATGCTGGCAGCTTTCTTCGCCGCCAATTTGTACCTGAAAATATAAGATGGAAGCCCTTGTCAATTCCGCATTTATGATATTTATTAATCATTCAATCAGCTTTCAATAAATTAATCAGTCAATCAACCAGGCAACAGCCATTCAATCAACCAGTCAGTCTGTCAGTCACTCAGTCAGTTACTCAGTCAGTCAGTCAGTCAGTCAGTCTATCGTCTTTCTAAATATCTGTTATCCTCAAGTCTAGTTTAAACTTTGTAGGTTTATATGAAGTGTTGCTCACCTCTCAACAATAGCCTCAAGTGTGAAATTTCTGAATAGTCCATTGATGCCTTTATCTCCTAGGTCAACATCAGATTTGCAGGATGGACATGGGAATGTCTTCACCTTTGCAGCTAAGCTCCTGCTTGATGCTGATAGCGGTGGCCTAGGGGACCTACCACCAAAAGACTCACGCCTGCGCAAGCCTTTAGTGGCTCCCCCGGTATCACTTTCTGCAGCACTCAAACTTTGGCGCTTAAAGGAACCTGATCGTCTGCGTAGACTCCCAGTCCTTGAAATGGACTTCTTACGCATTAAAGGTGACGTGATCGAGCGATCTTGTTCATTTGAAGGCGTCCTTGGAGGGGAGTTTGGAGTTGAAGGTGGCGAAGATCCAGATACAGAGTAGATACTCTCTACCGAACCAGCGTTCGACATTTTGTCGATGGAGGACAGGCATTCCCTTGCGCATTTATGGCAAACATTATGGTGGCAAGGCAGAACAATAGGCGTCGTGAAGTAGTCATCACAAACTGGGCAAATAAGCTCCTTCTCAAGATTCTCCATCGTGTGCTAAATCTGAAAGAGAAAGAAACAGGCACCATATCATTTATTGAAAAAGAAAGGTCATCAAAACCCTAAATCGTAACCTTAAAGTGTCCCCATAATTACATAAATTGATACTTGGTCTACCATAAAAAGCTTGTATTATTGTTTCAATTTTTAAATTTCATTATTTAATATTTTAAATTATCATTAGATATAGGCTATTATATTAGGACTGATCAATGCAATGTTTGTAAGTATGGTTGTAAGCCTAAAGTCGCATGCGCACTGCGCAATATTAAATAATTTCATTATTTAATATTTTAAATTATCATTAGATATAGGCTATTATATTAGGACTGATCAATGCAATGTTTGTAAGTATGGTTGTAAGCCTAAAGTCGCATGCGCACTGTGGTTTTAAAAAATAAATTGGATGCATGCGCATTCATAATTAAAGCGTATTTGACGCGTGATGTAGACGCATAAGGCTGGTTACTATTAATGTTGGTACTGAATTGAATGAATAGTTCCCTGCCAGCAATCTATTGAAGTAGTCTATTAGTACACAATACGAATTTATCGTTAATGATTGTGATCACGTGGACTCCGCCAAAATATCATATTACAGTACAGTAATATTCAAATTGTAGCTGCTGTCTGGTTGACATTCACAATATATTGCGCAAATGAACGAGATTTGGAAAGACGACATCGCGGCATCAAATAAGCAATATTTGCATTCTCTTTTCTATTTCCTTTCACCATAAAGCTACTTCAGCTTATCAAAATTTCACGGGCTGCTAGTTCAAATCGCCATTTTAATACATATTTTCCTCTCAGCTATTACCTCGGCTAATGAAATTACGATCAGCCTTCCTGTATGGCACTGCAGTGTGATTTACTCGTGAGTTAAACTAAAAATACACATGAAACAAAAATCGTGGCAAATCTACACACTCTTACAATGACTACCATAACATGATGACTAAGTATATATTGTCGGCTACAAACGTTATGAAAAATTGATAAGAACAAAGTGCAATGCAAAGAAACAACTATGATAAAGAATGAGTAATATCAGTTCAGAGAGAGTGTTATCGAATTTATTATCAATAGGCCCCTATATTGTTAAACAAACTACAATGTGTATATAATTATTACCTAAACACAGTTTTCGACTACAAACATGAACAACAATGAAGTAGTTTTCTATCGAATATAAAGCAGTTTCATTTAGTTAGGCATACATCATTTTTAGTTTAAACCAAATATTGCTAGATACGTTTTTGAAAGTCTAAATAATCCACTCAAACTCGACACGGGCAGGTAAAGAAATGCTACTGATTATTAATATATCATCCTATTTACTTTTATTGGTACTCAAATTTGGAATGAGGTGGGGTGGGGTATAGGTAATTCTTTTTCATCATTCCTCTATTTTATTGTGTATTTTTTTTTCTCTCTATTTTCGTGTTGTTACTATTTATAATGTTTTATGTATATTGGGCCTTCTCGAGAATAGTAAACTTTTACTGAAGAGGAGACTCAGTATAAATAAACCGGAATATACTCATTAAACATTGATACAATACTGACAATTAATTCACTATATTATTAAGTACGACTGTAAATGTATATGGCCCAAACCAGTCCCACTACCACTAATGATTACAGAGCCAAACCAAGGCAATATATGTGTATATATATATATATATATATATATAATTATATATATATATATATATTTATATACATATGTATATTTATATATATATATTATAAAAGATCGGTATGAATGTATGAATAACTTGCAATTCTGCTGAAATAAAATTAATTTATTATTATGTAAATTAAACTAAATCTGGTATATAAAATGCATATTTTTAATAATTGCGAGTTGGTGGTAAGATAATACTGTTTATGGAAATCGATGGATCAAGTAAGTCAGTAAGTAGGGCCAACGACGATTATCGTAACTTCAAAACATTGGTACAAGTAGTGGCACTCTGGCCTCGGTAGCCCCTTATAGCAAGGTGGCAGCCATTGACTCGTAAGATTCATAAGTAGCATTACTTGTGCTGTCTCTGAGACTATTGTAGGCTTAGCAGAGTAAACGGAAGAATTAAAATAATTTTTAAGACTTTATTGACGGGTCAAGCACTTGTCGTCGACATTATTTCTGTCGTTAGGCTGAATCAATTGTTTTGAGGATGTATTTGCTATTACTGTCTCTTCCTATAGTTCTAGTAGAATAGGAATTTTGCATACCAGGTTTTCCTGTAGGCATATTATTGGGTGAGCGATCCTCAATATGATGTTTATTTTGTTTATGATCAATTGTAGACCTGAGTGTTTGCATGTATGAACCATGAACTATGTACAATCTTAACAAACATATTCACATGACGTAAGATGGCTCCACGTTGTATTATTATCGTAGCATACTAAAGTTGACCTGTACAACGATGACTTAATACAATCATTGCCTAATACCATTACATTTATATATTTTCCTCACACAATGAAATCATACATAAAGTATACCGATTACGATATGGTTGAATCCGGTTTATCGCGGGTTGATGCAATGTTACAAAACAATGTACATTTATTTAGTTATGTAAATAAATGCAACAACGCATTATACTCGACAACTTGATAATATCCTAGCCGTTGGAAGCATTTTACAAGTGTTTTCACCATTACCACGTTATGTCACTGATGGGTGGATGGGAGTTAATAATTAAGGAGGGGCCCCCCGGTAAAGCTTCCTGCGTGGAAGATAAGGCTTCGATATGAATTATGCAATAAAATCGTTTAAGCCTGTATACATAAACATACACAGTTCAAAATAAGGTAAATTGAATAACAAACAAAAATAAACATTAATGTACGACAATGATATATCTAACGAAATATTTTAAAAGAAAATGGGCCACGTTATGTAGTTCATGCTATAAGAAGCGACAATTAACGCCCATGATAAATATGACGTCACCTTACGCCATTAAAATCGTACGCATACGGTACTCTGCATTATTTACATTGTTTCTTGTTAAATCGTGATAGCGTTTGTTTAAATGTCAGCGGAAACATTGTGTTTAATATTTCGCTTTCTCCAATTATCATGTTCGTGACATTTCACCTTAGGTCATCTATCAATAACCTCCTTCCTGTCTCTGAATGTCTATTTTTTGAATTTTTGAGGAATTGTTAAGTTTGTATTGATTTTTAATTTAGTTTATTTGTTGCCGTTTAAATATTTTAAATCAGATAGAGAGATATGATTCCGCAGTCAAGTTCCAATCATAAAAAAACGACAGTGTTTTAAAAAATCATTGTTAGATTACCTAGTGTCTTGCTATTTTAAAATCGTTTAGGAATTACAAAGCAGTTATTTCAGACCACAGTAAACGAATTGCCGTTAACACCGTAATAAACTCGCACTATTCTCATGGATTACGGGTTATACTGCAATTTCTTTCTGACTGTCATGTGGAACATTTATACTAATGTTAAATCGTTGATATTTAAGTGTATCATATATTTTAACAATGTAGCCTTTTAAGCAGTTAGGCATTTAATATTTTGAAAATAGGCTATACTACTATGTTTATTACGCACATTTCGATCAAAACAATTTAATTTAGCTATCATAACCGTTTTTCAAACAAATGTTAACATACAATGCGAAAAACACATTGCCAATCACTCTGGACAGTGATTCAAACAGCTCCCTAAAACTCAAACAAACAACTAAATACCCACAAACAACGATATGGATATTAAGAATATTTCTCATTATATTCCATTATATTTAGGGATCGCAATTACCTCTGAGCCAAAGGAACCATTATCAAACATTTATTTTTATATTCCATTTTCTCGAACCAATTCTTAAAAACTTATTTGTAGATTACCTAGAATTTTTAACTAATTTATTCAGTTAGATTCGACCACTGATATGTTCTTTAATAGTTTGAATATTACTAAGTATAAAATTAAGAAATGTATAGAGTAAGTGTTTTTGATGTTTTCCGTCTTTCTTGTGTTTTACGTATTCCATTCTGTAAGTGGCGGGCTCCGCGCTGTCGAATGTGAATTAAAATAAAATAATATAAAAAAAATAAAATAAAGTTATTGTTATAGGCCTATTACGCAGCAGCAATAACAAATAGGCAAATAATGTACCCAATACGATAGCTACAAAAAGAAAAAAAAAACTAATAAACCTGATAATATTAATATCGAAAATTTTTACCTAACAATTGTAAGATCTATTGATGAGGAAACTGTGATTTTTCTGACTAATAAAGGCAGTCGGAAGGCCATTTCAATCCAGTTACAAATAGTAAATTTAGGCTAATTATTAATAATTCATCACGTACGTTACGCCCAATTCGTTCACGACACTGGTAAAATTTCATATATGTTTTGCCGAGAGTTCATAGGCTTACATAGTTGTAAGCAATTACAGCTGCAAGTACAACTGCAACTACTAGCTACTCATGCTATTGCAACTGAAATTGCAAGTATAAATGATGACGTCACAATTTACTATAATAAACCATGATAACATATTATTGGTGAAATTATTGTCGTTAGTTTTAAATTAAATTGCATGGGACGGTTCTCGGCATTGGTCTACATTGGTTTATAAATTTCATAAGTTTATAAATATTATAACGCATAGAGACTAAAACATCGCATGATGTTAAGAGGAGTAATAGCAGTATCTGAACCGTGGAGATCTCTCTTGGTCCTTAGTTCAATTCCCATCATCGCTGATCTCCATCTGTGTCAATTGAAGGCTGAAATTTAATGACCGCAGAAAAGAGTAGGGATTGTCTCCCGGTGTACTGCGCAATCACCAACAGAAGGGCCCACCATGTATATATGTCTTCTTCGGACGTTATTCTTGGCAAACCGAACGGATCCATTCCGATGATAAGGCTAAATATATGATTTAAAGATACGGGATTGTATTTATATAAACCTATATTATTATCCTAAAGAATGCATTATAGTTT